AGGAGAAATATGAGATGCTTCGATGGACTGACACTGTTGAAATCAAAACACCGAATCTTCTTATACCTACACAAATAGCTAACTATGTGGAATCATTGCCATTCTGCAAGATCAGTGTTCCATCGTACGTTCTCTTATCTTTTGATCTGCAGTTTTTTTTTCTACTTTGAAGACAAAGTTCAGCTGGCTGCGAGTTTGTATCTCTCTTCGAGTTCAGCGTTGAGTTATGCCATTCCAATTTTCAAAACTACCCACTGGATAGCCTGATTAGGCAATAGTTTTGATGTCCTTTGAATGCCTCACTATGCAGTGACCGATAAACTGTTTGCCGTTTTGACATAACAGTCTCCTCACCATTATAGTCGAATATCTCCATGCTCTTTTCGAAGCTTAGCTGCGCTTCTATTAGATATTACCGTCTCCAAAATAATTATTGCTGAATTTTATATGAAATGAATGAAGGAGAACTCATTTTGGAACGAAATCGATGAATGTGAGGGTGAATTAGGTTAGTAGTGCTGTTGCTAGCAGGTCCACCTCGTACGTCGGGTATACCCAGGGAAAGGGGGTCGTATTTGCTAGCTGGGTGGAGAGTCGTATTCGCCTTTGAGGGAAGTGTTTCTGGTCGGTGCACACCATTTCTCTCAAGGCAGTATCTTGAGGAAAAGTGGAGAAATTCTCGGAAAAACTGCGGAGAAAAATGAAGGGGTTGGAAATTTTAGAAAGATGGTGGGCAGGCTGAAGATGTCCCACTGGAAGAAATTTCGGGTGGTATATTTAGCGCAAATTTTCCCCATCGGCAGCTTCGCCCTGGTTGGAGGAGCTGCTCTCTTCTTTTCCTTCTTTTCCCGTTTTCAACTTATTTTATTCCAGTTCGGCTGACCGTTTTGCCATAATGCATCATAGCCGCCTCTTGGACGTCTACGCTATTGATGGGCAGAATATAGTTCAGGAATCGAGCGTGCAAGGTATTTATCTTACCGTTATTGAGCCCGTTGAAAATTGGTTCAGCATGACTTTTCAGTGCTGGAAGATGAGTTCCCTCAATACTGCTTGTTAGAATTTACTGCTTCTGGATCACTACTTCTGTCAACCCGGAGTAGTGCGCAGATTGACGTATTTGATCACCAGGGCGGGTACTGCTATGATATTCCATTGGTTCGTGAGATATCTATCATTTGATCCAATTTTTGTAGCAATTTTCCAAACGATATTTCGCTATTCTCTTCTTCAAGGAATCCCCGGCAAACAATATTGACTTGGTATGTGCTATATCTGCCATCCGAACTATTGCCAACACTTCAACAGATGATAAATATCTCGATATTTTATACGCTCTACAATACAATGGGACCATGTCCGTTTATAAAATCGGGTAAGTGATTATTGCTTTCGGTGTTACTCCAATATAGCGAAAACATTTTACTGGGAGAGCTCGTCTGATTATAATATACTCCAGTATAGCTCGAATCTTTGAAGCTACACAATACTAATAACTCAGTTCCTGCGCAATTTTTTTATTTTTTTTTTTTTTTTGGAAACACTCATCTAATGCGCTGGAATAACGCGTGTTGGTTCAGCTTAGCCAACAGGATTTTTTCAAACCTTGCAAAAGAGATGTCGGCGCAGGCAGCTCTACAAATTGCTTTTGTTATGTAAGGTTTTCCTGGTATTGAAAATGAGTGGAGTGTTAGACTTCCTTCAGCCTTAATAATGAATCACAAATCCCTGGTTTTCTAGACATTTCGCTTAACCTGGTGAGGGTGATTATTGTGAATGCCAGTTCGCTCTACACGGTTATATCACAGTGGTATAATGTTGGGGGATATGTCTTGCAGATAACGGCGAGACTCGAACCCACACCTCACGCTTTCTGGCGAGTCTGCTGTCTGCTATCCTGCTATCTTGCGTGGCCACAGGCCGCTCTTAACCCTCTTCAGGCTTGTCATATAGTGGAAGTTGTCTGTCGCTTGTTTTTGGGTGTGGCAAACAGGGCGCCCTGCTTGTATTGTGAATGTAGTGCCCTCTATTGTCTCTTGCTCGCGTTCATATACTGATTTAAGTGATGGTAGGTAATGTTTTTAGGAGTACTGCTTGTTTTGTTTGGTGTGATATGATGTGTTTCTAATGCCGCTCGGATGTGGACGATCAAGGTAGGAGGGTTGTTCTCATCTGTAGGTTTAGCTTGTGTGTGGATTTAGTCGAGTCCCGCGCTTCTGTGTCTCGTTGCCCTTCTTTGGTTCCGGTTGCTTTCCCATGGTGAGTTGTTTTATCGAGCTCGAGTGACGGTTATTAACGCAGCTACGAGAACCTGGTGAACCGGGAGAAAGAAAATCACTGACGAGAAAATACGTCCCGCTTTATTCAATCGTTCGCCACTTCCAACAGTTGCTATCTCTGGTGGGAATTTTTGGAGAGATTTGATCTCCTAGGTGTTCCTCCAGTCTATTTTGGTTGTTTATCGGGGGCTGTTGAAAGCGGTGTGGGGCTGTGTATATACATCTATGAAACAGAAAGCATCATAAAAAGTCAACGACTGCCGAAGCGGCAAGATACGCAACAACGAGCACATGCGCGCCCCCTTCTCCCAGAGGGCCAATACGGATCCACTGCCGGTTGGGAAATGCCCCAACGATGTATGTGCAGGTGATCCAAGAGGCCGGTCGATCGGGAATGGGCGTGCCTTACATCGAATAATCTTCCACCATACTGCAACTGCATAATCCAATCAGAGATCAGGATTAGACTTCTTTCTGTGAGTTATTTACAGCGGGTCCATACGACTCTAGCAGGGGCGCTGGGGGGGCGTTGTTCCGCCAAGCTGAATCGCTCGCGGACAGTCGGCGTAAGAAAATGTAGTTTTAGAACTGATATATCGATAACTTCGTTCTTAATTGGCCAGTGATTATTCTATTATCATTCAGTCTATTCCTTATGCAAGTGCTTAGATGTTATATTTCAATGACTGATACATGTTTAGGCGCTTGACAAGAGTCACCAGAAGCTTATTGGTCCATCCATTAATTGGATTGGCGGGTACATTTTGTGTTTTACCAAAATATAATCTCCTCTTGGTGGCATCTCATTATCGCGCTTCTGCTGAGGGAAATTTGCCTGGAGGATTGTGCTCCTTCCGGCTAACAGATGCAGAACCATTTGTGGAACCAATACGATTCGCGAATGACCAGGGTGAGTTGCTAGAACATGAATTGTATGTACTTTGAAAAAAGCTAGTTATTACATTTTTAGCTGGCTGGCTGTCTCGTCTTCCCTTCAGCTCCGCTAGTTATGCATACTTGGTTTCCATGTCTTTGAACGAGTCATCATCAAAGTTGGTCGCTGTGTCTAGCAATGGCGACTTCCACCTGTTTGATGTTAGTCTATAGAATACATATGGATTTTAAAGGGTGCTCCACTCGGAGCTCTCGGAGTTGAGGAGGCCCACGCATTGGTGACTAATCGGTTCATCTGCGCCCCTCCGACAGCAGTCCCGTTCCTTTCTCAGATTCAACCTTAGCAGAGAGCAGTGGACGTGGCTTAGTTTCCCCGCGTGGCCTCCTCAACGCTAGTAGATCCAGTTTATTGTTGCTAACTGGTTAACCTCTTTCAGATTCCATAAGACCGTTCCGCTATCTGCACGACACTTTGGAATGGTGGACTTTGCTACTCAAATAAATCATGGCCAGGAGCTGCCAGGGGATTAGTTGCCTGTCGTGGCATCAGATTCCTCAGCTGGCTCGGCTGTTCGGCTTTGGGGATCCCCACCTCCCAAAGCCGAACAGCGCGGGGGGGTTGCTGGTTCCCACCTTCCCAGCAATCACTGCCGTTGCCTCCTGTAGAGACATGTGAATTCATGTGAAGCCGAGCAATAGGTCTTCATTACAGGGGGGGGCAAAAAAAGTCACTTTGCCTCATTGACTTTCGAGGCGCTATAAGTTACACTTTATCAAATTCTGATCGGACATTTTTACTACCATATTGAAGAGCATATTAAGTACTATCACGACACTCCGCCACAGCCTTCTGGACGAACGCCATCGAGAGATTCTGGCACGCGACCGCGATGGGTACCTGAGATCAGCGGGGTAGTCGATTTCTCCGCCACCGTAGACCACCCTATTGAACTCCGCCCGAACTAGGTAATTGAGTGGGTTCAGGTCAGGGGACATACTTCAATATTACATCTTCTTCAGGTACGAAACGCCCTTCCATTCGAAGTGGGCGGAAGTTTTTTCCAAAACCCTTCGATTCCATGTGGTGGCACCCAAACCTGTAGCAGCACAAGGTCTCCAAGAAGGTACGGGCGACCACATGTAGGGAGGATATTCTTCTCGAGTTACTTGATGTAACCGCCAGCGCTCACCTTCAGTCGGGGTCTACAAAGAAAATATCGGTCTTCCCATTCCAGGTACCCCGGTCCATACCATCAACTCGCGCCTCGGCGACTACGGTGCAGATGATGTCCTAGACCGTAGCGACGTTGCCGTAGCTGGTCGATGTGGGAGGTCTTGCAGATCAAGAGTACTGACCTCCAGGTAGCTATCTGTGGATGACTTCATTCAAGAAGTTTCGCAGCTGTTTGGAGGCGACGTGAATTCCAAAGGTGTTCTCCAGTCAGGCCGCGACTGGAGATGACTTCATATTTTGGCGTACATGAAGGCGATTGGCGGCAGCCTGCTCCAGCTTATAGAGGAAGATCTTGGGTATCTTCCACTCTGGTACTCATATCCACTTCCCCTGTCTGGGCTGCGAAAACTTCGTTGATATGTGGCTCGGCCGAAATGACTTTTTTTGCCCCCCCCCTGTACACTCGGGTGGTCAGAGTGCCAGGTATTAGTTGCCTGACGTTGGCCATGACTTCCTCAGACTAGCTCGCGCTGTTCGGCTTCGGTGGGAGGGGCGGGTTGCTGGTTCCCACCTTCCCACCAATCACTGCCGTTGTGAATTCTTGGGAAGCTGAGCAATAGCAGGGACTTCATATACCTTGACAAGAATCTACAGGTTCCACCAAGGTGTGATCTGTTGTGCAACGAACTTTGGAAAAGGAAGTAACAGAAGTGCAAAATGCCCCTCCCAAGCCGAACAGCACCTGTCGGGTAATGTGCAGATACTTCAAGTGCTTGTGCACTTCGCGCTCTATCGCTTCGCGCAAAGAGTCTCTGCGTCTCTATTCTCGTCGAATGATCGAATGTTGGGAATCAACCGAGCTCGTTTGAGGCATTGCGCCTGCTCTACTTTCGTTTTTACTGGCAAATCAATTAGAACCCATGAACTTTGAGCACCACTGTCCACCAATTCGCAATTGCGGAATGTGTCCTTAGGCTCAGTTCGTGCCAGCAGATCGAACCCACGTGTGTGTTTA